GATAAAGATATTGAACAGGACCGGCCCTGTTCAATCCTGTTTTAAACCAGGATGTCCTGGTTTCTAAACCAGGATGTCCTGGTTTAAAGTACTGCGCTGACACCTTTCTGTTTCTTCTGCTTTTGGTAAAATACCCAGTGTTCCCATTGTTATCCTTCCAGAACAATGGAAGGAAATTATCCTCCTACATACCTTTTCATATGCTGGGAAATACCTGCTTGTCGCCTTTTGAATTATAACAGCACGTTGTTTCTCTTTATCCTCAGCCGATAAGAATGGGAACATCAAAATGAAGCCCATAAGGTCATCAGTTCCTCCAACATACATATCAATCCTTAAAACCAAAGCAAACAAAAACCTTAAATAAGAAGGCACCTTCATAAGCAGAGTTTTCTTAGATTTGTGTCGTGATAGTAAAAGTTGAATTTCCCACCCCCCTCATGAAAATTATTTTTGCATTTAAAAACAAAAAATACATCACAGTCTAAGTCTTACTCATATTTGTAGTGTTGTTGGCACTTTACTTGCCTCATTGTGCAGGATTAAACAGGATTGTACAGAGGTTAAAAAAGTTTAACTTTGGTGTTACAGATCACTTCAGAATCACCAAAGAAACACACAGCACCACAAGAAGTCATCCCCAACTGGCTTAGCTGTCTGGATGTATGCCACCTTCAAGGTTTCATCCAAAGTCCAAGTGGTGCCAAATAGATTAATAATGGGGTTGGAAACCTGAAGTCTACCTGAAGTTCCGCCATCTAGCTAAATTATTAGTACAGAAGTTCTTCAGATTGTCCCTTTTATCCATTTTTCCAGAGCTCTGACAGCAGGTTTTGTACTGTACACAAGACTCAAATGTAAATTAAGTCCTCATGAATATGAATAAAATATCTGGTAAAATAGTCTAACAAAGTCTTCTAACCATCCTCTGTCACAAAAGATTTGAGTTCCTGCTGTGTAGTAAGACTAACTGCAGTTTTTGTTGTGAGGCAAAAGATTCTCAAAAAAGCCTCTGTAACGATTAAACATGTTATGTGCAACAAGAAGCTATCAGATATTCCTGCAAGTCTTAATGTATGCCAGCTTCTCGCCTGCATCTATCTGATCTTCCAAAACTGCACTTCCACACTGTACACGACCAGCTCTCCAAAGTACCTGGAGCTAATCACAGCAAGCCTTCGTCGAAACACTGATGCTCCCTTCCCCCCGCCCAAGAACAAATCAACAAATATACTTTATTTATATTTGCTTCAGGAATAGGCTCCAGGCTATATCTAGAACACGATGGAAGAAAATTCTGTTTGAAGGAAGAGGTATGCAAGGAATGCAAGCTACAAGAAACGATGGCTTAACAACAGAAAGAAGCTGATAAGCTATGACTGAGGCTCCTATCTGAATATTCATTTATTTTGTTACTTCCCTGAACCTGCTTTAGCCAATTCTTCCAACCATTTGCACCGTTTAACGGCAGTTTATTGTAAAGTATCTATTAAAGTTAGATGCTTTACTGGCTGACCTTTAGTTTTCCTTCTTTTGAAAAACAATAGGAAATGGACATTTAAAGGCTACATACTGAGATAGCCCAATCACATTTTTTTTTCCTTCATAGACACAACATCAAGACCTGGATTTAATTTCATGTGAAACCAGAAGTTTTTCAACAGCTTTTTAGCAACAGCTTTTACACTCCCAAATGACAGATCTTATTCTGCAGCCATAACTTAAAAACGAACTATTGCTTTCCAAAAAGTTTTCTGTTTACAACAGTAGTTCAACATTTACATGCCAGTCACCTCTTGAATACCTGTGTCAAGCTGTATCAATCTTTTACTAAAGCATAATAAACCCCTGCTTCAAATATTTTTATGTAAAAATAATCGAATTAGAACAAATCAGTTGGCTTATGTCTAACTGTGGCCTGTCAGGCTCACTGCAAGTTGTGTGTCACTGAGGAGCACAGGTGATTCTCTGGGTGTGCAAGTATGCAATTCATTCTAGATGTATCTAACCTACTAAAATAAATTCATGAAGAGTAGTACTGTTACAGTACAGGGCTCTCTCCTTCAGGTCCTTCCCGTAGAGGTTGTACTTTGCTGCTATATAGCTGAGGATGGCTTTAGTCTGCACCATCTTCATCCCATCGATCTCCACCATGGGCACTTGTTGAAATAGCAGGGATCCACCTAAAGAGAAAGCCACACATCATTCTACTGGATCTAGTAACTCCAGATTTCTTGCTTCAGAAGACCATTACTTTTATGGTAAGCGTGCTCTGGGTAGTCATTATATTAAACTGGGGCTCTTCCATGCAAGCAGTAAATTACAGTGGTGCAGACAAATTAAACTGCAGAACACAATTATTGTGGATTAACATCCTTGCTTTAAAAAAATTTCACTGAAGTTGTAGTCAGGACTGTGTACAGCAGCTTTTATGCTGAAATTGAAATACAGTGGACACACTAAACATATCAACTGAGTAAAAAGTGTATAATTCTAAATACATTGAAAAAAGTTCTGTTCCATTATTTAAAACACAGTTGAAGCAAATGTCAGATTCCTAAATTTCTCCCTTTCAATCAGTATCTTAAGCTAAATCAGGACATTCAATGAAGTTTTAGGATAAGGTTTTGCAAGTTACTGAAGCCCAGGGTAAGTTTTTGGGACCAGGTGGGACATGTAGACAAACGGAGAACAGAACAACCCAGAGGCCTGGGAAATGCTCCAGGTTGGAAAGATGTTCAATTTTCAATTGCATCTGTCCACATATGGGAAAAAAATCAGCCTCTGCAGCTGTTCACAGCTCTCAGTTTTACTCCCCTCTCTGCTGTGTGGAACGAAAGTCCCACACAGTCTTCAAAGCCTTCCCTCCACACATCTTCTCTGAGACTAAGTAAAGTCTGCTCACACTTTTCTTGAGGTTTCACATGGACTCACCTTGCAGGAGCTTCTCATACTGCTCTCGGGTTTCCAAAAACTCTTCTTCAAACTGACAAAAGAGAACAAGGAAGAAGGGGAAATTAGTGTCTTTTCACATTTCTAGAATACATAAACTTTTTAAGCATCATAAAAGGAAGAGAATATACATCATGGTTCTTTCCATTCCAGATACGGCTCTAAGGGAGAAAATACCCAGGGCAGAAGCACTGGCAAAACCTCTTGGACTGTCATATTTGACAAATGCTGCTAGAGGCAACCCTACCAGAAAAACAGGCAATAAGAACTGGGGTGAGGATGGTTTGTTTGGTATTGAACAGGCAATTTAATGTGAGACAGTCAACAATACAGACAAGGCTGTCCTTAAAATGCTTTCTGGTATGTGGAAAAAAGCTCTGCTGTGGGATATTTTGATTTGGGAGCTAGACAGGAACAAATTCTTAGAAAGTTAAAACAAAGCCTTTACAAAATAATGTAAAAGTATTATGCCCAGCAGGAACTTTAGTACAGTACAGTACAGTACATGTTTAGGACACCTAAAGATGAATCATTCACTAGATGAGAAAAAAAAAGATACAGAATGCCTGTGATCAGAATGTTGTAGTTATATTCAATATGGTTCAGAATGGCTCGTCCAATCAGTGCTACTTAGGGTGGAATTCAGTTCAAGATTAAGACACCGAAGTTAGATGTCTATGTGTATCTGTTTGCATGTGCCATACATGTCTATAGTCAATGTAGACCATGGTGACTAGAAGATGATTGAGCTTTCCAATCCCTAGATGCCCAGCTAAGGATCCTTCCTCAGTCAACCTCTCTCAGAGTATCTGTGCAACTTATGTTAATAACTAACACGTGCTATACTAGGGAAACCCCAGAAGATTAGGTGTACTAATACAGTGCCAATGTTCAACCATAGTAAGTGTGGTCACAGAGTCCAAAATTCAGAACCCAGGTTTCTGCTGATGAAAAGCTGGGAAAAGAATATCCCATGGAAAAATGTAGTAATTGGTACCTGTCAACAGGATTTTTTAAAATTAAAAAAAAAAAAAAAAAGAAGAAAAAAAGAGAGAGGGAATTAAAACAGGAACAAATGATGCACGGAAGCAACCAGTTGTGTGTCTTCTGTAAGGCCTTCAAATAAAGACTGGTGGTCTTTTTGAAAAACTCAGGTTCCTTGTCTCAGTACAGGAGTAACTGTATGAAGTGTAACAGCCTACTATATAAAAGAGGACACTCGGAGCAACTGTTAGTCCTGAATTATCAGTTTATCACCAAGATAGATAGCAAATGAATAAGTAAATTATATCCCATCAAAAAATTATTTTAAACTGGTGTCTTGCTTCTCTGGTTTACCCAAATATTTTTCTTCCTGATCTGAGATTTCTAATTCCCCTACACATGTAGGTCAGTTTGCTCACTTCACCCTGTTAAGCCTCATCTAAATTACGCAAGTAAGACAAAATATATTTTGTGCTATAGCTTATTGTGGAGGATGCAGCAGTGGAGTGAAAAATAAAATAAAAATCTGTGTGTGAGCATCCAACTGAAGACAGAAAGACTAGAGAAAGCAAATTCATTGCTGTTTTGCTCAGCACAGATAATACTTGTTATGCCAAGAATACATTTATTATTCAGCTCAACAGCTCTGGCTCAGTAATCGAATGCTTTAATTAAGCATTATGCATTCTTGCATTAAGCAAGAAACTGGTTTACAGTGTCAATGCTCAGAAGACATGTAACTTGAAGCCATACTTTGTGTATGTGTGCCTAAAGTAAGAGTGCTTAATTATACTGAACAGGCAATGCTCATTTAGTACTGTGTCTTGGGATGCCTTTTCTTTTTTGGTTAATAACCTGTGATCTGCCTCAAAGACAAGCTTACCAATGTACAGCTTAAAGTTAAAAACACTAAAACAAACCTCGACCCCAGCTGCAGCTAACAACCAGCGAATTGACTCCATCTTGCCTCTTCCATCAAAGTAGTAAAGTTTCGGGTTTTTGGCCATGACTTCAAACTTCCGTTACCTAAAATAGTTATAAAAGATAGTAAGTTAATAATGATACAAAAATCTGATGGCAGCTGGCATAATGGTTCACAGGTCACTCACATGACAAAAATTTAAGTTAATTTTTGACAAAAAGATTCAGTAAAGTTTCAGTCTAAACTGATTTGGTTTTACTGCTGCACAGTCAAGTCACAGTATTTCATAGTCTTTTCATTCTCCTGAAATTCAGGAAAAGTAAGCATCAAGTTGCTAAGTAGGAGATAACAGAAAAAAAATAAAGTCACCACTAAGGAAATCCTTAGAACTTTTAGAAAATCTAAGTTCTAACACTAGAGTTACTCAATCACCACTGAAAGCCAAGTTTCCATCAAAGGGGAGAAGAGGCAGTAGACAGGTTTTTCAAATATGGCAGTCCTTATATCAAAGAATGCCAAAAGTATCTAAACATTAATTCTACACATACTTAGTATGGAAACGTATTTTCAAAGCCTCTCACTTTTCTTTCTAGCTGTGGTGATCCAGGGTAAGTATGTGATCCGGAATCAGTAGAAACGTCACAAGAATGACCAGTTTCTTCTGTGATAATCCAGATTAAAATACAAAGATTCAGACTGTTGCACTACTTATCCTTCTACTGGTCACATTTCTTTCTATTAATAAACCCTGTTGCTAAGCAAAACTTTATAGACTTTCCAGTTATCAAATACACCATGCTTTGCAAGCAGCATTTTTGTTCTTGAATGGCTTCATATTTTTTGAATAGATTAGTGTTTATTTTCAGGAATTGGATTCCACTGTAGAGCCATAAACCAAGGGAGTATCAAATTTCATCATACTGGCATTTCATATGCAGAACTCTGTAATAGCAACTCCTTACTGCAACTGAGAGCTGTTTTCCCTCTGAAGGGACATTTCTTGTCACTCCAATCCACAGTTCAAGTAACCCTGGAAAAGAGGCTGTTGGCATGCGAACAACAACCTCCAGTTCCCAATGTTGCAAGCATTCCTTCATAAGCGGAGGGAAAAAGTGACCTTTGAAAGACCTTGAGCACGCACGAGGCAAGCGATCTGCCTGTTAGCCAACAGGCACGAAAATAGAACACAAAATTCAAGACTGCATCTGACCATGGGAATTCAAATGAGCCAGGCTATTCAGCCCTTCATGCCTGCTTAGAGGCTCCATTTCTTCTTAGGTAAGTCACTAGGAACTCAAACATTGCTGAGTAGTATCCATACTGCCAATAAATATAACAGTGCATGAGAAACGAAGACAAGACTAAAGAAAAGTATCAGTGTGAACTACGCGAAAGAACAGAATTAAACAGGAGTTGCTTGTAATACAGCTAAATTCACAGAAGAAAAAAAAAGCCAAAAGTGATTTTTAACTTGAAGTTTAAAAAATTAAAGAAACAGAAGAGTCACTTTTCTTCAGTGCACCTTCCTAAGATATGCTTCTAGCACGCCAACTGACATGTCACAGGAGATAAGCAAGCCACTGTTGCCAAACACACATGAATGCAGCAAAGGCAAACAGAAGGTAAAGACATGGTGGATGCTTATCTTGTAAATACAGGGGGATCAACAAGCTTTGAAGCGAGCTGTAGTGTTCTGGTTCCTAAGACTGAGCCTGCCATGCAATATTGGAAGAGAAAGTCCAATCTGTCAACTGAAATCTGATGGAAAGAGAACGCCCTGGGGATGGGCAAAGAGCTTCTCCCTTCCCCACTCTTCTCACCAGAAGTAAAATGGCAATTTGCAGACAGTAGCAGCAATCATAGGTAGGTTCCTGGCCATTCCCCTCAGCTTGATATCTCAACAGCAAAAGGGACTTTGGGAAAAAATGATCTGAATTTACTCCCGTGTTTAGATTTACGAAGGCCACCGGGGCTAACAGGGGGAAAGAGGGAACACAAATATCTGTGCAAGAAGCCATCGCTCCCATGCTAGCCACACAGACCAGAAGAACACTGGTGAAGAGGGCCAGGAGACCATCTGCGCCTGGCATGTCCTGCATACCCAAGACTCCGGGACCCGGCTTTCACTGCTTGCATTCAGCAGCCCTCAGCCCAACAGCAGCCGCCCTTTTCTACCCTGCATCATGTAATACCAACGAGGGGGAAAGTCCCCTACTCAACGCATGACAGGTAGCAGCCTCCCGGGCCATCAACTCCAACCCCTTCCACTCATGACAAGTTCTTCGCAGACACGAGATGAAGAGTGGTTCATGTCATTAAATGGGGAGCCACCACGCTGACAGTTGGCAGTGGAGGGAGGGCTTGGAGGCAAAGAGCAGAACAGAGCAAGCGCTCACGTAAGAGATGAGAAATGCTGGAGTATGCACAACTTGTACAAGCGCTCGCTAAGTCCAGGGCGAGCAGCCCGTGACCAGGGAGGTTATCTCCTGATCAGACACCGAATCCCAACCCAAACCCAGCACAGCTCCCCTTCGCCCCGCACCACGAGAGCCAAGCCAGCCAGAGGACACTAGGGTGATGATGGGAAAAGAGAAATACAGAAACCCACATTATTCACACAGAGAATTGAAAAAATAATAATAAAAACAAGGGAACATACACTAGCGAGGCAGCAGTACTTCCCGCCTCAGACCCCCGCAGGCCGTGGGACGCCACCCGCCCGCAGCTCGCTG